CCGTATCAGAGGAGTGCATGATGACAGGATCTGTAGGATTGCCGTCAGCATCCATTTCACATTCCCTGTATACCAGTCTGGCATCTGGACCCTCCTCAGACGCAGCTCGTTGCTGAGCCCCAAAGTAAGCGAGAGAGAACGATTCGACGATCCTCTCGATCTCCTGAGCCTCGCCAGGCAGTCGAAAGGTAGCCAACATTAGCCTGAGGGCCTCTACCACCGGCATACCAGCAAACTTGAAGGAGTGCATGAACTCCTTCCTGATCTCGCCATTGAAGTCCTGCCGTTTGGCTAGGAACTCCCCCAGTATCTTCATATCGAGGCCAGGAGTATGGCGACAGAAGTGTGCGAAGGCCTTAGCCGTGACGGGATCAGAGAGCAACCCTAATGACTGCAATGTAGGAACACACTTGGAAGGGCTCGAATTGAAGGCCTGAGCAGCTAGGGCCAAGCGACGCTTCTGCTCCTTCCTCAGCTCTAGTTTAGCCCCTTGCTGTACTGTATCATCCACATCCAGAGGCTGCGTATCCGTACGAGTTAGGAGTGGTAGATTGCCCTGTGTGGATAGCTCCTTAGACGCCTGCTCAGTACGGACTGCAATACCCCTGACTATAGCTAATAGACCATTCAATGCCATAGTAGAAAGGTTCTTCTTCCTCTCATTCTGCACCGCTGGTGATGATGCCTCTCCTACACCCTTATCCTCATCAGTAGCCGACTGAGTATCGGTAGCAACACTCATAAGGAGTTTGACCAACCTTTCGAAGAGGTTGGTGCAGTGGACATCACAATCATAGTTCTCATATAGCTCTACCATAAGCTCAGGTTCTCTGCAGAACTCCAGTAGGGACTCCAGAGCTAGCTCCCTCTGTTCCATTGATCTACTCCCTGCTGCGGGCACCATCTTGAGGTGAATACTCGTAAAGAAGATCTCCAACTGGACCTTTAGATGTCTCTTGAAATGCTGGAAGAGATTGAATACCGCCCTCAGTGTAGCCGACAGCACCCTGAGGCTCTCATTAGCAGTAGAGTTCATAAGGAGGGCCTTGCAGATATCATTCTGTATAACAGATATCAACGCCTCATGATTACACATATCAGCGCCACCAGTCTCAAGTGCCACATTTAGGAGGCTGAGGCCCAAGGACCTCGTCTCCTCCATAGCCTTCGATGTTTCAGAAGAGTCGGATGCCTTGAAGGGACCTCCAAGCGATAGCCTACCACCCTCGTCAAAGAGATCCCTCATCTCAGCCTCAGGATCACTACTCCCGTAAGGTTCTGGACTGGGAGCTCTCAAATGACGATACTGCTGTGGTGGAGTCCCTCTCTGTGGCGTCCTTGAGCGCCCTGATGATGACGAATTGCTTTGTGGGATGTTGGCCGAGCTTCCCCTCTGACCCTCAGTCCCATTTATTGAGCCTGGGAAGCCAGCGGTCATAAGGAAGGCCATATACCGCAATAGACAGTACCTTGCTGATACTGAGTACCCGTTACCACTACTACTACC